GAGACCACCGGAGCTCCGTGGGAGAGGGGTCTGTAAAGCCCCCTGCTGTTTTGGTCACGCTGAGACCACCGGAGCTCCGTGGGAGAGGGGTCTGTGCCTTGAGTTTGGGAAGCTGGGTGCTGCTCTCACCAGGGGGTGAGGTATCTGCATGTCTGCGTCCAGCTGTTCCCATAACAGGATAGCGGACTGGGTGGCACTACCCCCACGCGCCCCTAGTGAGTGGTATGGCACCGCGCGCCAGGCCGAGGCTGAGTCCTACCTGGGTTGCAGCCCCTTCTGTGGTCCTGGAAGCCTCCTTGGTCAGGCCCATCAGGCTGGAGGTGCACTTGGAACCCAGCTGCAGGAGGTGTACCTCTGCTGGACCTGCCGAATGCCTGAGCAGGGCTGGAGAGAGGAAGAGACCCGCCCTGGGAGCCCTCGAGGGAAGGTTCCCGGCTGGCCGGCGGGTGCGTCCTCCATCTGAGCCTGCCGGCGGGTGCGTCCTCCGTCTGAGCCAGTGAGTCTGCCCCTTGGCACAGGGCTTTATAGGCCCCCTCCGCCTGCTCCTCTCTGGCTGGGCTCTGGGCGGCCTCCTCCGAAAGCTAGCGTTAACCATTTTTTTGCTGGCCTTTTTTCTCCCACACTTTGGCAATCAGCTCAGTTCCACTAGACTTACTTTTATGGAAGTTTAACTGCTTTTCTTCACCCACAGATACAAACCTTTCTTTAAGTTTGAAGGCATCATTCTAGCTATTGTGTATCTTTTAGGTAATAACCTGTCATCCTGGGTTGAAGCAAGCAATATTCTTGTTTTTGCAGCTGACCTGCGTTAAACACTAAATTTCGTAATTGACTTAGTAGCACGTGCATGATACATAAAGAATTTAACTTAGGAATTTCACAGACATTTGCAGAGAGAAATGTAATCCCAAGAAATAGCAGGCATTTCTGACAAGTAACTTAGGAATCTGAGTACTGGTTGAGCATCTGGAAATCTGAAGTCCAGAGTGCCCCACAGTCCAACACTGTTGGAGCGTCGCGACTCAAGTGGAAAATTCCACACCTGACCTCGTGTGGCGGGCTGCAGTCCCAGGCACAGTTCAAAGTTTGTTTTATACATGAAATTATTAAAAGTGTTGTATAAAGTTACTTTCAGGCAGTGTGTGTAAGGTGTGTATGAAACACAAATGAATTTTGTATTTAGCTTTCTCATTCTGTAGCTGCAGGTATTCCAAAATCTGCAGAAATCTGAACTCCGAACTCCTCTGGTCCCAAGCGTTCAGATGAGGGACCCTCAGCCCGTAGTTTTCTCTGAGTGTTGGCGGCGCCTCAGGTCCCGCCTCCCGCGCTCGCTGCAGAGGCGTCGGAACTTACCTGCCGGCCAGGTGTTGGTGGCCTCTTGCCCAGCAGGCCGCCTCCGTTGCCCGTGGTTGCGGATTTCACAGCCTCCACGGCCTCATGCGGGCGGAGAATAAACCTCCCTCCGCGGACTCCAGAGGCCTCCGAACCGCCTCGTGCGGGGCGGCCGCCTCCGAGTGCGCCACCTGCTGGCCATTCGAATTTCAGCCGCCGCTTGGGGAACCCTGGGCTGCCCGGTGAGAGCAGAGCGAGAGCAGAGCCAGGCCCCCCAACCCCGGCATGGGCTGCCCAGGCTGAGGG